TTTTGGGTTTTGGGGTTGGGGGGAGGAATGCGCTGATAGAGTGGTAATAAGCTAAATGAAACAGTAACAAGTACACCTACCACTACCTATCTACCAGACTAATTAATTATTACAGAGGGACAGACACTATGCTGTTCTGACTCACTGCCTAAGGTGGTTCAAAGGAACCGAGTGGCAGTTGGGGGTCGTTGTGCACTTTATGCCCGGGGGGAGGAGTGTCCTGAGGGCATGCAGGGTGCATATACAACTCCTGCAGACACTGCTGGTGAAAATGTTCTAAACTCCTGTGCTGGGCAAATGGACACCATAAGTAGAAATCTACACATGCAATAACTCGAAGAATGACATTATAATTGGTTAAAAGTTGATGCAAAATGATTTCAATTTAATCTTCGTTGTATCCTCCATGGTTGCTCAATATTTCCTTTTAATATTTGTTACCCAATCTCTTGAAGTCAGTATGACATATACAATCATTTCCAAAGAAGCATCAGCTCCATGGTAGTTTTCATGCAAGCATAAATTTGAATTAATCCCCAAGCAAATGCTCAAGGAGAAGGTCCTCACGGACTGTAGCCAAGTGGAAGTACTCGTTTTCATTCCATGAATAAATCAGTTACACAAATATTTCTTTATAATTAGGACACTAAATGGACAAAGCACATGGCTACCACAAAAGTCCCCTATGGGTGGATTAACATCTGCAACAAGGGCTACAAAGATCTTAATAAAAATCATATTAGAAGTACTGGAAGACTAAACCTGTTTACACACACTTCCCAAGAATGTTTTAAGGAGACTATTTTGAAAACCAGCATCAACTGGTGGCTGAGTATTACATAAGTAGAAGATATCAATCCTTTACACTAAAAAGTAGTGGGGGAGGGAGAGAGGGAACATTAAAGTTTGGTGTTTATTTAAAATTTTAGCCTGCAAAGAAGTCATTCTTTGATGAATCTTCTGAAATAGTCTTTTCTCTCTCTTTCTCAACATCTCATTACTCTTAACCCAATCAAACACTTCTATATTCCACATCAACTGCCTTAATCTTTGGCTACTCTCCTGCCACAAGAGTGTTTATCCTTTAATCTTCTGCCCGGTCCCATAATCCATACTTGTGGTCTCAACAGCTTTCAAATATTTCTTCTGACCCAAGAGAAACCCCCAAAGATGACTTGAAGGCATCAGCCTAAAATCTGCTGAATACCACCACACAACAGACTATGATCAATCTCTTAAATTATAAGGGGACTATGAAAGTAGGTAAATCTTGGATCAGGATTGCATGTGTGTAGGTGGCATACATCCCTCATTATCTCAAACTGATTTGCTTAGCCCATCATATAACTGTCTATAGAAACATTTACCTTTATTGTGGCATCCTCTGAAGCAGAGACCATAACACTGAAAACTGGGTGGAAAATTACTCGTGTGACAGGACTCCTATGTCCACTCAATGCATACTTCTCTGGAGGACGAGGGATCCATTCTTTAGGGTCTCGTTTCTGACCAAGAGGTCCACCTGATGTGAATTCTTCCTTTGCTTCATTTAGCTTAGATTCTAATTCCATCACCTGAGAGTTATGGAGTTTAAAAAAAGATCAATTGTTTCTACAATCTTCTACAGCAAGATTTAGCTAATCTGCCCTGGTTATTAACAAAGCTAAATTTTCCGAATGACTTTGGATCTAGAATATTTTGCTTCTCTCTTAGGTGGAGAGCAAGTTACTGACCTCCAGTAGCTCTGACCATCCCTAAAATACAATGGAACAAGTTTCCTTGTAAAAGAGTCTGAGTAACACTTGATTTGAACACAAAATTTTCCCTAGAGCTTTTATGTGACAAGGGGACTAATATGCAAAGTCATTTAGATCTACCATACTGGAAAGTTCACTACTTCAAACTGATTGAAAATAACTTTTCAAGTTACTGAATTTTGTGAACAGTCTTTTGGCAAAAGGTAATTTTGTCAGAGGTAGTTTTATTACTAAAAATGCTTACCCACCCCCAGGACCCTGGTCAAAGACAATTTTGGGATTTACATATCAAGTGTGTATACAGAATATCCAAGGGCAAAAAAATATTAGAAGCTCAGTAAAATCCTGCAACGTTTACCACTACATTTGGTAGCCTCTGCTGTTAACTTGCTATGATTTTTGATACTTTTAATACACTATATACCTATGGATGCTCTATTAAGCACATACAGTTTTGTATTGTGTGTTTGTATTAGAGTAAGAGCCACTTACTCTAGTGCATCAGAACTAAAGGCTTCACTGCAAAGGAAGAGATAAAGAGGACTAGCAGCAGAGCTTTTGCTTTCTTCCCTGCTAAGGAAGCTTTTTGGGGACAACTACTCAGCCTTTGCATTTCCAAAAAGCCTTGGGGCACTCTTTCCTTCTCACCATCTTCACAAAGTGCAACAAAAATCCAAGAGATGAAGCAAAGAGTCATATCAGAGAAGCCACTATAGAAGAAGAGTTAATATTTTTGCTGGAGATTAAGTGGATAGTAGAAAACACATTTCAAGGCTAAATATTCTGCTTGTTGGATATTGTTACCTTCCCTGTTCTGCCCTCCAAAAATACTTTTAGGAGAACATTTAATAAGCCCACACTTCCTTTGAATGCATATAAGAGTTTCTTCAATTTCAGTCCACCGAATACCATTAATAATTTGCTTTAAAAGCTGATTACTCATTGTAAAATTGTATAATATGAAAAACTCAAATCCCCCCCTTTACCTTCTTTTGTAATCTTATAACGGATGTCCATTTTTTCTCCAAAAGTCCAGCATACTTCTTATCTAGCTCTTCATTCTGAAACAGTAATTCAAGAAGTTGTTATAATGTACTTGTTAAGAGACAAGCCAAAACAAGCCATAATGTTTTCAAGAACGTCTAAACATTCAAATTAAGTAATTTGTGGGAGGAAAGAAGAGGAATCAGTTGATTTTTAATCAACTTAATTCAGTCACCATATGGACATCTTGATTTTTAATTAATTTATTTATTTTTAAAGACTAATAGCATAAATACTTTGGCGATCTACTTTGGTTACAAAGTAACAGTGATGTTTAGCCAAAGATTTTCTGTGAATCAAATCCACAAACCCAAAGTCTCAGTCATCCACATTATTTTATTCTGTCCATTAAAACCCCCTGCTATTTCTAGGACTCATGAGAGCCTCTCACATGAGTATTACTACTGGGGAAATTCTGTACCACTGAGCGCGCACCGAATTCATGTTCCCTGCAGATTTTTTTGCTTCCCTGCAGATGATGGATGAATAGCTGAGAAAACCCTACTTGCAATTTGTCTGATTATCTTTCCCACCAACCCCCATAAATTAGAAAAGGAAAAATATGAAGGGATGTGTTGATTGTGTGGACTGGAGAGTAAGTGTGACCTGGCGATAATTAGGTTTTTGTAGTTACCTAACCTTTTGATCAATCAAAAACTGACGGACCTGTATGTACAACAACCAAGGAAATATGCAACCATTATGTTTGCATGCATAATCAGCTAACTTAAAACATCTGCTGCACTGCTTAAAAATTTACAAGCAGCTGACAGAAAGCAGGCTTGCATACATAGGCTATGGTGGTTTTTTCTTATTTTTAGCTGATGAATACAACCCCATCTTTGTTGAAAGGCCTTCACATCATACCAATCATGGGGTTCAATCCAAACAGTGATGGGAATAATTTTAGGCATTTCAATAATCTCTCAAACTATATGGCTAAAGCAGAAATAAAGATTTAAATCCTCTATTTCACTATGTCTAAAAAGGTATTTCAAGGCCCTTTAAAGGCAATTTTAAATCTTTGTAGTGTTCAGTGGCTCATAAATGTTCCTTCTCTCAAAACAGGAATACGCTGGTAACACTGATTTAAAGGTTTCTAAAGATCTTAGTAGTGCAAGAACACTGCTACATCTGAGGCCTCCTTGAGATTCATCCCAAGGGCTGGATGTGCTCATAGACATGTAGGTCAGGAAGGGACTGACAGGTCATCCAGTTCAGTCCTCTGTACTGAGGCAGGACTAAGTGTTATCTAGAGTTTAGACCATCCCTGACAAGTGTTTGTCTAGCCTATTCTTAAAACCTCCAATGGCAGATTCCACAATGTCTCCAAGTCATTTGTTCCAGTTCCTAGCTACCCTTACAGTTAGTAAGTTCTCTGTTGTGTAACTTAAATCTCCCTTGCTGCAATTTAAGCAGATTACTTCTTGCCCTGTTCATTTGGGGGATTCTACCTTACTCTACTTAAAAAAAAAAAAAAAACCAACGGCTGATAACTACTGGGCTCAGAAATGGACCTTTCCTCTTCCCATTTCTCTTCTCCAGCTCTAGGCTTTTCCCTGCACAGTGAACCCTTCTCCAACCTCTCCTCAGAGAAAAAAATCTGAGATTGAAGTGTGAAGTTTCATTATATCTACTGCACCTAGATGAAAAGCCCTCACATTTCCTGTAGTATCCCAGATGCTGAGTTTTCTAAATCCTTGACCTTACCCAATAAGTTCAGAAAGGATAACCGCTTCCGGTCTCAAATCATGCTTCCAGAGGCCACTACAGTTTGATCCCTGAAAGCTTTGCCCACTATGAGAAATCCAGCTTCTGGCAAGACACATACTCCTTGTTCCTTTCTTTTGGAAATGCAAATACACAGTTGCCAGAGCGTCCATCCTAATTGGGAAGGGTTTGTCTCACTTGCTGGTGAACTGATCTTAAGGCTCTATTTCATCTGAATGTATCTAGGAAGACAGGTATCATACGCCATCATGCAGCCTGACAGCTGTGGTGATGGTTTGACCTTGGGGAGTTTGCAAAGGCTATCCCTACAAGATGACAACTAGAGACTCCTATCATCTCTGGAACAATCTTATGAAGGTTGATGATGACACTTAAACCCTTGGAATTCCAATAGCTTTTGCGTTTGATGTCTAGAGAGTGTGTTCTTGCCCAGTGCATTAGTTCTGTGTAGTCAAGCTGCAGACGCTGAAGTGCTAACCTCAACTTGAGTATTCTGGGACAGTGACTTGACAGGCCACAAAAATGGCTATCGATACAGAGACAGAACTGGGTGCTGAACAAAGGGTCAGTGATGGAGCTGTTGCTGAGCTGAAGTTAGCTTGCTGTAACTAATTAAGAATTGCTAAGAATTAGGTACTGCTTTTCTAGATGCAAGGGATGGGGGTCAGACAAGCCAGTTGTCCAAACAGAAGAGGGAGAACTTATGACAGGCTACCTACTAATACAAGACCTTTGGAAGAGAGCAGATATCAGCCCGAAGGGGGGAGGGGGAGGATGGGAACAAAAGTAAACTAGGGAGAAACTTGACAGGAAACAGGAGTGTGGAGATATGTACTTTAACTATGCAGACATTCATAGAAGTTTCTAGGTTCCACTGCTCCAATTATGGAGTTAATGCTTGCCATCTTATAGTTTGTAAGGGTATGTCTTCAATACCCGCCGGATCGGTGGGTAGTAATCGATCCCCGAACACGCTCCCCGTTGACTCCGGAACTCCACTAGAGCGAGAGGCAGTAGCAGAGTGGACGGGGGAGCTGCGGCCGTCGATCCTGCGCCGTGAGGACCCGAGGTAAATCGATCTAAGATACTTCAACTTCAGCTACGCTATTCCCGTAGCTGAAGTTGCATATCTTAGATTGATTCCCCCCCACTTCCTCCCCAGTGTAGACCAGCCCTAAGCGATGAAAGTTCAAATCTAAATACACGTTCCCTAACATTAGGAAAATGCAGCAGCAAATATGCTGCAGAATCTGGAGGAGTTTTGTGGACTGCTCTGATACTGATGAGCTGACCAGCTGCTATCAGATAAGTCTTCTAATGGAAGAAATGTTCCCGGAGGGGTGGGGAAAGAGAATCTAATTACACACAATAACTAGTTGAAGGTGGAAAATGCAGTTTGTTGAAACTGATGAAAGCTAACAAGCCTTCCCCCTTTTAAAAACTCCAATGAAGACTGGGTACCAGGTCAAAATCTCATCTGTTCAGTTTGCCACAGGATGGGTTTTAACTTGATCCCTTAGAGCTGCAAGACCTACAGATGGAAACCTGAAGTCAGCCATATTTTCTATATCCTTGCTGGTATCTACATCAGGAAGAAGGAAAGGAGGAGTAAAGTCTGCTATATATATGTGAGGTAATGTTCCTCCGAAGTCTTGGTCTCCTCACAGGAACTTATTTCAGTTAAAGAAAGTTACAGTAATACACTATAGAAATCAAGATTTCTATGCCAGAAGCCAAGGCATCCTGTAACTTGCAAAGATATTTGTTAGGAGACAAAAAAGTTACCCAAAACAGAAGTCATTTGATGAATCAAGCCATGGATAAACAAAACAGTTTAGACTTGGAGGATTCTCTACAAATATTCCATTCTAGCTCCAGAAGGTGCATCAGAGCAGTATGTTTTGACAAACCTGACTTCATCATTTGGTACCAGGTTATAGTTCTTTTTGAAATTATCACAAGTCTTAGATACTGGGGCATTGCCTGGATGGCAAAGCTCTTAAGTGGAGTGATACACAGGATCAATCTTAAGAGCATCTCCCATAAATCATGACAGTCCCTGAAGAGCTTTTTTCATCTGTACATGCCTTTTGGGTTGAGCAGTTCTGGAGTCTTGACATTTCCATAAACTCTTATTTCATTCAATATCAAGATGAAGACATAATAAATTAATATCCTGTGTCCAATCTTATTCTAAAACCCCAGGATTCTTTACTATTAGATTATGAGAAAATAAGGTAACCAACGTTTAAAGGAATCTGTGTGGAATTGTTTTTTGGGTGCAGGAGGGCCATGCCATCAGATAATTCCTTTTCCTCTCCTGACAAATTGGATAACTCTGACCAGTTAGCTCTTTGAAGCCTCACTAGCAGCCAGAAGTACCAAGAATCCCCTTTTTTCCCCCTAAGTTTTCAGAGACAGACTCCATTAGGTTGTTCACTTAATGAGCTCAAGATGCAGGTGGGGAATAGGTGCTTACTACATATGCTTTGATGAACAAGGCCTGGGGCATGGGACGGGAACAGAAGGTTGAAGCTCTAGAAGCAATAACTATAACAAAGCTTGGATGGTTGAGGATTTTTCCCCCAAGCATTTTTCTCCCTTTTAAGGATCAAGGGCTCAGTCAAGGAGCTCCAACAATGAGCAACTGACCCCACCACTACAGTGGGATAACAATCTTCCCTAGTAAACACCAAGAATATGAGGAAAGGAGGCAAACACACTGAATCCTAATCCCCCCTCTGTGGGAGAGGAGAAGAGCAAGAGCAAGAACCCTGCTTCAAGGAGGGGCAAAAAAGGCAACCAGACAAGGGCATCCTGCCTACATGACAGGTTATGTAGCTTCTGTCTCTGGGTCTTGAGTTACCTGGAGCTGGAGGAAGAATAGACTGTGGACAAAGGTGGGGGAGAAGCAAGTCTTCAGAGTGCAACACCTTGACACCCTGATATTCACCACTGTCAAGTAATTAGCATATGTTCTGTATAAAGTATGCCTTGTGAAGTATCTTTCTAAAAGTCTTGATCTGCTAGACATTAATATCTTGTTGGATTGTATGTGCTATTGTCGTATGTGAAGTTATGAAGTTTGGCTATGTATGTGTAACTGAAATATGTGAGAGGTTGAAAACACCCACAAGCAGCCTTTCAGGTACAACAGTAAAAAGGCCAAACAACGTTAATGGTTTATTGAGGAAATGCACACAAGTATAAGGATTACCCCAGGAACTATGTACAATAGAAACCTCTCAAAGATAGCACTACACAATGGGAACTGTTTGACCCTGGTCACAGCAAAAGAGCTTTCCAGCAAGTGGGAAGAAAATATAAAAGGGGAACAATGACATCATGAGGAGACCTCATTCTCCTTGCAACAACACACTGGGAAACACCTGAGGGGTAAGGACTCAACTGTGGAAAGTGATGGTCCGAGGCTGCCAGCCTGTTATCACTCAGAATGGGAATTTGCTAATTTATATCCTACCTATCTAGACTATTAAACTCAGTTTGAGGTTTTTGTTTACTTACTAAGGTAACCTGCTTTGATCTTTTTGCTACCCCTTAATCACTTAAAATCCATCTTGTGTAGTTAAACTTGTTTTTGCTTATTCTGAAGCCAGTTTGTGGAATTCATAACTGGGGGGAGAGGGGAAAGCGTTCAAAAAGCTGTCAAGTATCAGAGGGGTAGCCGTGTTAGTCTGGATCTGTAAAAAGCAACAGAGAGAGTCCTGTGGCACCTTTAAGACTAACAGATGTATTGGAGCATAAGCTTTCGTGGGTGAATGCATTCACCCACGAAAGCTTATGAATCCAATACATCTGTTAGTCTTAAAGGTGCCACAGGACTCTCTCTTGCTCAAAAAGCTGTGTATATCTTCCTCCACACTGAGGGAGGGGGCAGATTTAATGAGCTTACACTGTACAGATTTCTGTGCAGTGCAAGACAATACAATTTTGGGTTTACACTCCAAAGGGGGTGTGCATTTGAGTGCTGGACAATACCCAAGCTAAGTCTTCCTACACAGAGCTGATCTCAGTGTCTGTCTTTCTGCACCTGGGTGTGGCTCTACATGTATGTGTGCTGGAGGAGGCTTGAGGGCCTGGCTCAGCAGGGCAGTGCAAAGGAACACAAACTGGTAGAACCAGCAGGTTCAGTGGTACCCCAGTACATCAGGTGGTACCCCAGAGAGGGGGCAACCTGTCACAGAAAGTTTCTAGACAAATGCGCTATCTGGGTCAGGCTCCATGGTGGAGCAGCCTATTACTCCAGCAATGTTTGGGAGAACTTGATTTATTTGCAGCATTTATCAGTATTGGAACCAGAATCGATCCCCAGATAGGGCTCTGCTTAACTCCTTACCACTCACTGAACCCACTACTGTGTCAGATATTGTTAGTCCTTTTTAGCTGTTTTAAAGTAGTCCCATCTAATTCACATTTTCCTATGAGAAAATTCCTATGTGCAATTTTAACTAACTTGATTTTCTTGTACCTCCCTTAAGACTATCAAATAACCAGATTGCCTACCATATTTAGGTCTTTTAACCTTGGGGGGATGGGGAGGGAACACTTAATTAGGTTGATGGATAAGTTTGATAAGTGAATGTTTTTATGGTTTTCAATTATAAAATGTAGGATATCCCAATTAAACCTTTCTGCTGATTTGTTACTTAGAACACTGAGTGCAGTTTAGGGAAAATCAAGTAAAACCTCAACTGAATATTTTGGAAAATAGGATGAACAATCCAAATTTTAAGAGAAATGCTAATTTACATAGTTTGTTTGCTAGTCCTGAGGGTTATTTTCAGAAATAGGTGGAAAGCACAATCACAAATGTAACCTGCTCATAGTCAACTCAAAACTTCTCCTGATTAATCTTACATATATGAACATAATATTAATTTCACTACAGATTTTCAATCCAAAACAAGGGATTTGTCCATTTTAGAGTCAGTAAAACAAAGATCAGGGATTTTCTTCATATGATTTGGAAGTGAGAAAACTGGCAAGTGTTTGGTCAAAAGACATTGCACATATGCAAAAGAAGTTTTTGAATTTGAATATAATCCAGTTTTCAAGTTCCACTGACCAGTTGTTATGGAGACAAGTACCATACAAATGAAACAAAAATGAAAAGACAGGGTTAAATTCACCTGCGCTGTGAATCCATCAATGGAATTACGATGACAATAAGTCTGGCCCACTATTTCTAATAAGCAGTAAACTGGCTATTCTGTCAAAATAAATTGTTTGGCAGGATTTTTGAGTAACTAAGTTAACACTACTAAAACTTTTCTTCCTTCTACATTACCACCAACTGACTTCTAGCAGTTTCAGGTACTGAAGTAGCTTTATGAGTCCAACCCAGGACATAACAGGAACATTTTCTGGATACTCTCAGTATGATGAACATTGAAAATGTGACTAACATGGTACAGGCTTTACTGCTCATAGAACATTAACTGTTATTGACAGTCTCTGCAGATGCAAACCGTGCAATGTTATTAGCCTTTCCAGTTTCAAAAGGACCTTCATAACTTATTCCTCTATGAAATCTTAGATTATGGAGTAAAAAAGCAAGGTATGTGGATAACATGAGAATAATATGATTGCAGATCTGTTATTTTATAGAAATGGTAATTTTAATAAAAGTTTACATGGACCTTCAAAAAAGGTTGATAGATGAAGTATTTGGGTCAGAATGTGCTTAATGTCTTTCCAAAAAATCAATACTAGGAAAAAATCAAAGAAGCAATTTTTAAACAAACTGCATATGTTCAACTGTTCAAGAGATGCTTTCACTTGAGTTTTAAATGATTTATTTTTTAAAAATAAGTCTTTGCGGCCATCGAGTTCAAGATGTCAAATATTAGTAATTTTACTGACATGCAAGGTATTCTCAATCTGTAATAACTGACTCAATTTTAGAGGCTAGTATTTACGGGATTAAAGGTGACATGAGCACTTTCAGTCAACATGCCCTACTACTTATTACACATCCCTCTACCCCCTGCCTCCCATGACTATACGGAATACAATCAATGATAGAGTGTGAGAGGCACCAAACTGTTTCAGCCACATCTGGAAGGTACTTACAACTGGAGCAGACACCTGATTTCTTCACTTTAGTTCAGCAATTAGTATATCCACTACACAAAACATGTTGCACTAGCACATTAATCCTATATAGGTGGTGCTGACTAAGGTTTCAAAACAGGAGGCCCAGAATTCATAAGTCACTTAATAGTAGTTGGTTAGATAAATGCTCTAGACTACAAAAGCCTCCTTTAGTTCTCTGCTTCTGTATAATTCCCAGTAAAAAATTAAATTTGGGAGTAAGAGAGGGGACCTTCTAGCAGTTAAATAGACATCAGAAAGCCAGGAAATTTTAAAAGGTTAGAATATATGCATATAAGTACATGTAGCAGTGTTGTCTGTTCAGTCAGCAGGCCTAGTGGTCTGGCCTTCTGCCTCCAGTCTCTTTCAACCCAATGTGTCCTGGACCGAGTCCCAGCTGGGTCAGCTTCCTTGTCGGTAACCCATGGTCCTGTTCATCCCAGGGTTAGGAACAGGGGAATCTGGGCTGGGTAGGAAAAGCGTGGAATAGCCAGGATTAGGCCCACCTCCTGCTCACCTTCCCCGGGCCACTTCCTACCACACATGATGCCTCCGTTTGAGGTGTGGCTGCTACTGGATTAGAGTCCCTTGTTTCAAACCCCCCACAGCCTGGGGCTGATACAGGAGACCCTCTGGTGCTACTGTGTGGTTCTCCTTCCTTCGAAGGATGGCTGGGGAGGGGATTCATACATAGACCTCCTTATTAGGGGCGGCTTCTTCTACTACTGAAGATCCATGCTCCTCTAGGAAATAAATGCCTTCTCTCCCCCACTCCTCTGGACTGCTGGAGATCTCTTTATACTGGTCTTTTCCCCAGGAGCATGCTCAACAGTGCCTGAGGGGCAGAGCTTTCCTGGCCCAGTACTGCTCCAGCTCTCTTCCTGTCTCTGCCTTAGTTGCAGGGTCCACAAACCCCTTCCCAGTACAGAAGAGTAGAGGCCAAAAGATTAAAACCCCTTACAGCATTTTTAGAGTGAATACAAAAGGATATTTCTGGAAGTATGACAATCCCCGCATTTTCCCCTTATGGCACAAACAATTCATCCTATTTACTTCATGCATTCCAAAAGGTTTCCCCTCGGCTTCAAACTTCCTGCCAAACCTGATATGGACAGGGTTAGTTTTGACAAAGCTAGAGGGGTCAAAAGTGAATCAGTCTTACCACTGTTAAGGTTGAAACTAACAGTCTGTTTCCAGAATACTAAATTGGAAAACTGAATAATTTGTACTCCTTTCTCCAGCTGGGACCCTTAAGCATTTTAGGAGGGGCTCTGATTCATCCTATATCTGGAGAAAGTTCAGTAGAAGAATTGAGTAACCAAGGAAATGGATTAATTTTCCAGCAGAGTTAACTAATACAGCCAGGTTCAGATGATCACCATGATCAGAACACTCAAGGAATAATATCATGTGTCTCAGAAAATGAAATGCATTCTCCTGAACATTTACTTTTTTGGATAAGAAAAAGTTTATTTTATATTGCTATAGCACCTTTCATCCTGGAGGAACTCAGAGCCCTTTAGGAACTGGATCCCTAAAATACCACAGAAAAGCAGGCTGCTCTGGAGTGATGGGTGACAGGCAGGTGGGAAACAGGCCTAAAGAACAATACACCAGTGTCAGGAATAGGGGAGTAAAGGGGGACGAATTTTGCCCAAGAAACTTCATGTTACAGAGTTGAGACCATCACAATATAGAGAGAACATTTACTGTGTCTTAAAGCGATTATTACATTAAGCGTGCGTATGATGTATTGATTTCCACATTGTAAGGGCTAACAGGACTGTTTTAGCAGAAGTAGTGCACTCCACACAACTTGTATAATGTTTTACAGAACAAACGAGCTTTATGAAGAATCTTGTGTTTCAACTCACCACATCTAACTCAGCTTCCTTTTTAAAAACTGAATAAGCCTCTTCATAACCATTGGATCGAAGGTAATCTGCTATTGCTCGATTTCTAGACAAAGAAAAAAAGATTTAACAGTAAGACATTCTTATCTTAGCCACAGTTCTGAACAGTACTGAAAAACAAAATACAGAATGCATGCGTACAGATTTTCAAATTGTAACCAATAAGGTAAACCTTGTTCTTCATTGTATTAAGACAGCATCAGCTAACATGACTAAAACCTTCAAACCAACTTTAAAAGAAAACATGGCATACGAAGTTGTCATGTCAAAATATGACCAGTAAAACAAAAATGCACATTTAGTATGTAGTTTTAAATTCTAGCAAACTTGCGGTGATTAAAAAATTAAGTATTTAATAGATAAATTATGATGATAAAGGCAGCTCTTGCTCACTATTTTAATACTCATTATCCCTTTAAGTAAGGATGAAAACGCAGGTTAAGTACATAAAAGCCACAGTGGTTTAAGAGCAGCTTTTTGTTTAGCTCAAGTAGATTTTGGGGAACAATTTTAAGACAAACCTAAATAACCGTGCACACAGGGATTTGTACTGGTTTAACTAGGTTGGTTTAAATTCATATCTTAGATTAAACAGTGCAATTCTCTGAAGTGAACATGTCCCAAGTTTTAGAATACATTATATTATTCTGTAAAACTAAGTTTTTAATTGGTAATGTCGGAGAAAAACAGATCTACACAGTAAAGCAGTTCTATTTTTACATAGTCACTTTTCTGAATAGTCCCACACTTCAAAAAAAACCACCTTTCCCAGGTATGGGCTAATATCAAAAAGTCTAATCCAGTACTTGTATGTGTGCAGTAACTCAAGCAAGAATAGAATGTCCAAGTCCTCAGTTTGTCTCCCACTATTAGGAACTCAGTTTCCTTGAGTGCATACCAATGTGTTACTGTAAAGCGGCTTATACTTCAGATGGCATCTTTTTGTTCACTGAATAACTAAAAAGCACTTGGAATATTCCAAGACTTTAGACCAATTCCAGTTTTTTTTAAATGATAAAGCCACAAATCTCACCTCATTTAACTTTAAAAATCTTAAATAAGAAGCCACTTGCAATCTCAACCTCTCCTCATCCTACCACTTCTTGTCAAAGAAGTTCAGGGCCAGAGATAAACCTGGCAATTCTATGGATAATCCAAAATATATACCGAACAGGTTTCTCCACTGAAAAAAGTGTGAAAGCCAATTCCTTTCAAAAGTCACAGATCCAAAAACCTGTTGTCAGAATATTTTCATAGAGAAAATAATTCAATTGTTCAAACTAAAACCAGGTCAGTCAGAGGTTCTCTCATAGCATCCTGCTTTACAGCTTACTAGAGACATGTTGTGCAGAGTCCATCATTGATATGAAACCAGACAAACTATAATCACGTGCACGGGACAACACAGTGGAAGTTTTACTCCTTTCAACTAGCACTACTTTACAAAATGACTTATTCGTCAAGAGGGTAATTAAAAATTTTGAGCAGCAATAATAATTTACGCATTTTACAAAAAAATTCCTGCTAAGTGCCAGCACTACTACAGAGCTCACCCTTGTATTATCAGACAACCAGGATGTGTTTTCCAGTCACCTGAGCAGTGAAAAAACCTGAGCAAATACACTTCTGAAGATACAAATGAAACACGTATCCAGTAATAAGGTGCCAACTTTAGGATTATTTGAACAATAAAGGACTGCATGGTTACGTTTAGATGAGTCAGACAGTTAAGACCCTACAAAAAAAATTATCAGTAGTTTGTAAATCAGAAGCCCAGCACTGACTGACAACAGTCATTGTTCCCATGAAGATTAAGATCTCCTTTTGCTCAATGATATACTGGCTCTTGACTCTCCACTAAGGCAAGTTACTGACATCATCAATATGGTCTCATTGGGGTAGGCTAATAACAGAGAAGCTGCAACAATCGAATGCTATAGGATGATGTACTGAATGAACTGGGAGTGGAATACGCTACACTCCACAGTGCATCACTAAGTGCCACCAACAGTAGCAAGCTCAATTTATTTTGGGAATACAGGAATCTTTGTAATTAAGTTTTACTATCATTATGCTGTATACCAACATTTATTTCTCACAAAAGTAAAAAAAATTGGAGGACTGCACTTATCCAGTAACAAGTCTTCACAAAAACTTTCGAAGGACAAGTGTATGGTACTAATTCCTTGAGCTGAATTAAAGAACTTTCAAAAAACATTTCACATCATTAAGTCTTCTTTAACATGTGGATAATAGTTTATTTCAAAGTGCTCTTTAAGCACTAAATATTAATTCCTTAAAGTGAAGCAGCAACCTCTAAAAATACAAATGTTTTACCCCTCACACCTATTAACAGGTCTAAACAAGATTCTTCCAAAAAACAAAGAGGGGGCCCCCAAAATACTTCTTACAAGGTTTTCACCTAAAATATCACCATGGAGGACAAGCTTTTAAAAAGAATCAATGGGATCCTCTCTCTCCTGCTCTCGCGCACACATTTGTCCCCAACACAATAAGGCACGTACCAACATTTCTTTTAACTTCCTTCCCTTATAAACTACTGGACCAGTAGACATCTCCAAGTCCCTCCCCAACCTCTACCCAGTTAGCTTTCCCCAGTTCCTCGGCATTCCCCATCCCTGCTCATTCTCTAGGATCTTCATCACATCCCCCTCTTCCTGTTATACATTCCTCTTCCCTTATGCATTCATTTTGGACATCAACCCCTGTCTGTATTCAGAGAGAACCATCAACTCCCTCCCAGTATTTCCTACTCTCCATATGCAGAATGAATGGATCTCTGACCTCTCTACTATCTTTTCAGGCCATCCCTCCTCTAAAGGAGCCCCAAGTGCATTGTCAACTCCTAATTATCCATGCAGAATGTCTCATTATCCCCACCTTCCTGTTCATATATTTGTTCCTTGAAGTTCTGGCTTCTAGCAACCAAAAGACAATATTTTAATTCTAGAGGTGTTCAGGAAGCCTTTCCTGCCTCACTTATCCCCAGCCCTTTCATAAACAAGGCTATAAATATCCACATAACCCTTCATGAAAAAAATGTAATAGTTCACATGCCGTTTTAGTACATCAGGGTTTTGCCTCACTTAAAATTACTTTAATACAATAAAACCTGGAAGAAATGGCATGTGAATACTATTTATGTTTATATTAAGGGGGATGTACTGACACGGAGGAGATACCTATGAGGCTGAAACTGAAGCAGAGAGGTGAAGTGACTTGCCCAAGATCAGACAGCAAGACACCAAAAGAGCCTGGATAAGAATGCTAGGGTTCCTGACTCCCAATCTGTTTTAGTTCTTTTACCAAGCATTTTATTATTTTATTTTTAACAAGGTAAAATTCCTCCAACTTCTCCCTTCCCTTTTTATAACAGGGGGATAGTTCAGTCCATGCATTCATGAGCCATTTAAGCACTTTAGGCTGTTGTCCATCAACAATTGGGGCATTGTGCTAAACCAAACCAACTCCTGTATGCAACCACCATTTAAAACATCCCATCGTAGTTTTCTGCAAAAGCACACATGCAGAAGAGTATATGCACAGAAGACCATTCATAGTTTATCATGTGACAATTGCCTATCTCCCAAATTGAACTGACACCATATTTGTCTCGTCTTCTTAAGCTGAACTTTCATTCTAGAAGAGGATGTAGGGAGGCGGGAGTAAGCTGCTCCAGTAGTCCCAGAGTCCTGTGCCTCTGGGCACATAGGAACCCTGCTGACTAGATCCATACCAGGCCAGAATGAAGCAGAGTGGGTCACGGACAGATTGCAAGAAGGGGATCATTTATTTTATGTCTGGAAATTAGAGACTTAGCAACACTATACCTTTATCATCATTTTACTTGCATTGGACATATATTTCTCATTCAACACACCCGCATATTGTTTTGACTCTATTTACATTGGTCCTGCAGAACTTGTGTGTGCTTGCTAGGCATCACAAACAGAACACAGAGCAAATATTTTAAAACTCTAAACTTCAATATTTTATTCCTATGTACTTTGAACAAACTACATCTAATTTTCAACAAATCATTCCTATGCCAAAAACCAAAACTTCCAGCTTTGACCTCACAGTATAAAAGTTTTAAAAGACTGTTTCAAATAATTGGTTACGTTTTCCCTCCTCCAGTCTACCATTCCTGAACTCCTATCCTTAAACACTCAAGTTTATACCAGCAAGTTCTTTGCTAGTATAACCAAAGTACAGATGTAGAGAGATCATTAAAAGGTAATTCACAGAAACTTAACTGAAGTAGAACAAATACGTGAAGAGCCATTTCATTGGAATCAAACTGGAAGAGAAAGATCAGTGTTTCTTTGGAAGGCTGATGAAATAAGAACCAGTGTAAGCAAAGGTTACTTTTGCTATTTTAAATAAATACTGTAAAAAAATACTTACAGTTCGTCTCGTTGCCTCTGTGACAGCACCATGGTGGCTGTGATGTCAGGCTAACGTGATTCAGCTGTGGCTGCCTCTTCAAGATTAAAAAATCTTGTGAATCCTGGATCCAAAATTCAGTCTGCCACAGTGCAGCTTCAACCAAAAGGAAAATGTTTCTCCACACGTGAAATCCAACAGGAAATCTGGAGGCATTCAACAGGGAAGGTTCATTCCATCTAGAAGGGGGAAAAAAAATACATTTTGCTTTTCAAAAGGTTTATGAAGCCATTTGAAGCTGTTTTGGAATCACATGAACATCTACATACCCAGGTTGGAATAGTGAAAATGGACACGTATGTGTGCAAATTACTGCATTCTTCCCACGTTAATTTTTCTGTCTTGCACCCTTGCAAGTTCCACCTCTCGGAAGAGAGGTCTGGATAGGCTACAATCTTTAGTTGCTTTCCTCACAGCAGTCTCCATAACTCTAACGATCTACATCTCCACACCACATTGTGAAGTGAAGATTTCCCAATTATTTTAGTCCATTTCAGTTTGCAACACCCAGCACAGAGGATCGCTAATGATCTGAACCATTTTGGTACTGCTAGTTTCTCCCAAATTCAAGGATGGACTTTAAGGCAAAGTGCCTCTGAATTAAAGCTACAAAGCTATTGAGTGTACTCAAGCATTTATGCCACAGCCTACAACATGAAAAAGCAGTACTAATATGAGATTTTTAAGCCTGTCATCACACCATCCAAAAAAAGTACACTAGAATTTCCACTGTAACGTGGACTAATCATCTGCTAAACATACCTTTAAAAAAGTAAATATTAGTACTAAGTCTTCACCCAGCCATTAAGTTTTAAAATAGATTTTTAAAATCTGACCAGGTAGTATAATTCTTGGTGTTCTGGGTTACCTTGAAGCTTGTTGCTTTAACTGTACTGAGGTGGGTCTTGCAAACAGTAACCAGCCACTTATGACAGATTTTCAAATTCATTCTCAACATTATCTTCAAAATCTAAATCTTTACAGTGGTAGGATGAGTCATGGCATAAGTTTTGCTTTTCACCACTTAACCTTATCCTATGCAGTACTGGCATTTTAATATCCTTAGTGTGTAGACTACTTTTACTGGATGGTTATGATCAGATTTGGACCAGGAGCTGTCATTTGAATCACTTTAACACAGCTTCCCCTGCAGTTCCAGCGATCTTCCATGCTCTAGGTTCTGTTGTGCAATCAGCAATATCATTATGAGCAAGCCAGGATCCTGCATCATTGCCTATTTTTTGCACGCACTTGACAAGTGTCTCTGTACCACATCATTTGCTCAGTCCTCTGAAGAACAAAGCAGACTGACCAAACAAGTGAGTGATTTTTAGGAATATAGAGTAAAATGTGAAAATAAAAATGTTACAGTACTTCTGTGCTCAGTTTACCTTGCATTTGGAATATTTATTTTTAATAAAAACAGTTTAATCCAGAATGTTGGTAAGAAGCCTGTTCAAAGCAAACCGTGTTCTTTTATACCCTAAACTCAATGCTTTCGTACACATACTTTAGTCCACATCCTCAAAAGCTAGATTTAGGAATAGTGCTTAAAAAAATATTAAGCTGTTATCATATGCTAACACCATTTGGCTATCCATTGTGGACATGGGGAAGATGTGCTTTGAAGTTAAATCTAGGCTATAAGTTATTTGTATTATGGTAGAGTCTAGGTGCTCTGCTCTCAGCTCCTCTGTACTAGGCATTGTATACACAATATTAACTATCCCTGCCCCAAAAAGCTTACAATCTCAACAAGATTAACAATTTAGTTTGCTTGACCCCATCCACAATACCAAACAGTGTTTTTCATGAACTAACTGAAACAGTGCTGTAGGAGCTGACCGTATGGCCTCCATGCCACCAGCAAGAGGCAGCAAAGATGACTACCTCTGATCTTAGTCTTGCGCCTATGCCTTGCTTCACGATATGGGTTGTTACAAGGAGGAGAGAGAAAAATTGTTCTCCTTAACCTCTGGAGGATAGGACAAGAAGCAATGGGCTTAAATTGCAGCAAGGGCAGTTTAGGTTGGACATTAGGAAAAACTTCCTAACTGTCACAGTGGTTAAGCACTGGAATAAATTGCCTAAGCAGGTTGTGGAATCTCCATCATTGGGGATTTTTAAGAGCAGGTTGGACAAACACCTGTCAGGGATGGTCTAGATAATACTTAATCCTGCCTTGAGTGCAGGAGACTGGACTAGATGACCTCTTGAGGTCCCTTCCAGTTCTGATTCTATGCAGTTACAATGTAGCCCTTGAGGACTGACCTTTTGCAGTACAGGGAAGAAGTGGTATTCAAGCTAAGGGGGGGAGGGAGGGGGAGAAGAGAGAATATGTGATACAAAACCATTGTCCCTTGAATTGATTAGAAGAGGTGCCCTCTAGCGGGCAATGCTGCCAGACCTTTGGGCATTCCAAACCACCATTTAGCCTTGCAATGGCGCTTTGGGTTTAAGAGTAAAGGTCTAGATACTTATCTAGTTTATAGCACTCTAGTTGAAAACTGCAAAACAAAGTATTCTAAATACAAATACAAGCATTGTTCACAATGAAAGAATCCACTTGTTTCTGAAATACACTAGTCCTATAGGTAAGAGTAGGAATAAAGGCAGACAGAAATATTCCTGACAAGCTGATGATCCACCCATTCAACCGGCTACAGAAATCAGACTCCACAGCTGGCTGCCAAGAAGCTCCACCACCTAAACTTCAAGTAATGGGATACCAACACTGTCTGCAGCATTAAACTTTAGATACTAGATCATATATTAAGAAAATATGAACTTCTAACACTCACTCAACCTAGCAAAAAAATTAAGGCTACCTGATGCAGACTTATTTAAATTCAGCATTCCAGATACATGCAGAGTCTATACTACAAAAGGTTTTCTCCATCTACACCTACAATTTTAATGTAAACCCTAGATTCTGGATTAATATAAATAAAATGCAATAAGTAGTCCCTATATTCATAGCAGATATTTCAGTATACTACACAAATACTGTAACTCGAACAATAAAGTCATGACCCAATATTTTGTCAGACAATTTTACATCTAGGAACCACAGGCCTGTTTTTCTGTGACACTAGTTGATGTGATTCACTGTTTAGTGAGGAAGCGGTTAGCAGGCCATGATTCTCAATTTTTCAGAAGGGAACTGCACAGCAAAGAAGAAGGGTGTCCTTCAAAGTCAGCATTTGATTTGCTTGTAAAACTCAGTAACAGCAAGTCAAAAACAAAAACAAAAGGAAAGCAAACAAATTGGAGCTAGTGCCATTAATACGAAAAGTAAAGAATTAGGTTACTTTTAAACAAAAAAGTAGTGAAATATGCTATATATACACACACACTTTTTTATTGAAACAGTGACAATTATGAAATTTACGTTTTAGGAAGCTTCTTTTGACGCAGTTCTACCATACATGTTTAATGTAATATCAAAGATGTGTGATTTTTGTAGCTCTGATAACACTGCCTCTCCTCCTCTCCTCCTGCACACACCTCCCACCAGTGTGTTGTGGTAAGAGCTATGAAATGATGGGCAATTCCTGAAAGTTCTGGTCCATTTCTTACCACTTTCTATTCTGCTTTGAGAAAGTCAGACATCATGCAGTGAGGACATGATCATTCTGCCCATGTCATGGACTCCAAATGCCTTATGCAACTCTAGACCAACTAGCGGACTATTACGTTAGGTCCTCTCTATACTAAAACAGACAGCATCTAGGTTTACCTGGACAAGAGCATGGATTTGAATCCAGTTGCAAAACCTTGTATTTCTACAAAGGCTGAGCCAAATCACATTAAACTGTGGTTGAATGGAAATATATAGACAGGGCTTTAGATCAGTAGGCTGTCTGACCAAAATGGTCCTGTGGGCGGTGCATACACATCCTGAAAAATTCATGAAGCGATTGTTGTTTCTAAACTGGAAGTTACTTCACATATAAGGAACAAGCACTACTCCCATATACAAGAACTCTAATCTCTTGATATCAGCTTTGAAACCTACCAGTACTTCCCCTGAATATATTCATTTACATATAGATCTTGAACCATCATACCAAATTTTCATGTAGTTTGGAAATAAGTTATGTTTCATCTCTGAAAATTTAGCAAAAAACTGAATGAAGAGTCAAATGAAACAGCCTTCATATTATCAAAAACTTTAACTAGAACAAGGAGCCTGATTTTCTGAAATGTTGATCCCTTCTCTCTCAATGGAGAATGTGAGCTACAGGTGCTCTACAACTGTGAAGGCTAAGGGGGAAGAACAGGGTGGATAAAAATCAATGTTTAAAAAACAAACAGATTTTTCATTTAAATCGGATTTTTCCTCAAAAAACATTTTATCTAAAGATAGCTTTAATTAAGATACATTATAGCTTAAAGATATCTCATCATGGAATAAGGATTATAAATTCTAATTCTATAGTATGAGAATATATTCATGTAATGTTTAAGAAAAGTTTTGTAAATGAATTCCAATAGTTCATGTATTAGTGACCCAATCTTATGGGGTTCCAGGGGCTTCTGTATAGATTATTTAATCTTTCTATCTACCCATGGGACTCAGTGCTCAGTCTAGAAGATACCATCAGAGATGCTTAGTTTTGCAGTTCTCAAACTGTGGATTTGTGTCTCCAGAGATAACATGCTTGTTAACAGCAAAAAATGTTTTTAAATAAAATAAATAAATAAATATCCGGAGGTGAGAAATAACATGCCTCAACCATATTGTCCCTCTACAAATTTGTGGACACAGAGTCAATCCCTCACCTCTCTCTAAAAGTGCAAAGTTTCAAAAAGTTCAATGAATAGAAGATTGTTGGGGGCAGAATAGATCTGGACAAGGAGTAGTAGTCTAGAGATAAATGTGAGAAGGGAGGAACAGGCAGTAGAAACAAAAGTGAAACTGTTTGAGCAGAATATTCCAGGAGTCTTGAGGTCTTTCTGAGTGATTTGAGATCTACCATACCATTCTCTCATTAGGAGGGAAAACCTATAATGGCAGCAGGCTGTAAAAGACCCAGTTTGGGAATATCTTAATGAAGTTCCTCTACCTGTGGGTAAGACAGGCATGTGTGCAAAATGCAAACAGTGCAACAAAGAAAAAACTAAATTCAACAATTCATATGCTTGTTTTGTTAAAATATTATATGTTTGCTCTTGA